GTCTCCAACATAGTTTATCATTCTGTTAATTTCACTATTATCTGCATATTTCAGTAGTGTAAAATCTTCCAGTACTGGTGAAGATACTGAATATTGTAGGGGTAAATGTATGCCTGGGGGATTGTATTAGAAAGGCTCTTGTTAAGTATATTTTTTTCTTTGTTTTTACAATTAGTTTTGTGTAAAAATAACTTTTATACAAAATAATTTTTCTGGAAAAATATTTTAATACAGAATTTTTTTTTTTCTGGAGAAATATTTGCTAACTGTGATAAATATGCTGATTTTATGAAGCGCTTATTTTATTGTCTGAATGCTCAGTAAGTGAAAGCTGAATGTTTCAAAGGTGTCTAAGGATATGACATCCTGACATAGCTACCTTTACTGACAACTTCTAGAGTATCCTCAAAGAGCAGTATCAAGTGTTTTTAATTACAGATTTTCCATGACGAAGTGTTGACTGGTGCTAATTATGTCATCATCTTGTATCCTATATTACTATTGTATGACATTACAAAGGGTCAACATCAGGAATATTAACTTAGTGAGCCACACTATCCCCTCAACAATTTGTAAAGGTAATCTTAAAAGTTACAAGTAAAATTTTTTCAGAATAATTTTTTTCAGTTCTCCCTCATTCCCCAAATAGCAGCAATGTATTGAAGACCTATAAGCCCATGTTTATTTTGGGGGGTAAACATTGTCTGAGACTTTGATTTTAAAATCAAAAATAGTGACAAATATGCCCTTTTTAAAAAAAATCTTGTTGATTACTGTTAATACATTTTCAAATAATAATAATCATTAAATCTCTTTTATTAAAGAATTCTTCTCTTATGACTATGTACCTTTTCTATTTTTGACATTTCTTGAAATACTTTCACCTGCTCCTAATTGTAGTAATTTTATGTTAAAAGGTTGTCTTCTTCTCAATTTATCTCATTATTATTTCCAGCTTTTAAATACTGACAATTTAAAAGCACCCTGTATTTGTGTGTGTGTGCAGTAGTTACTGGTATAAGATTCTGTACAGTGGGATGTAACAAGTTGTATTGCCTGCATGCAGCTGACCACACAGACTTTTTTTTTTTGTTTTACTCAGAAAATTTGTATTTAGTATAACATCTTGTGATTTATTTGTGAGAGCACTCTAACTATTCACGTCTTGTTTCTCTAAATCTTCAGTAACACGATTGCATATACTGGTGGTACAGAGTTCCCAGATCTACCTCTCCCTGCCCATTGTCCTAAGTAAGGCATATCCAAAAATTTGGTTCTTTTAAATTCTAATTTGAAGATTTAATTTCTACCTAGACCTGTATTATCTTTTCCTTCTGGGAATTGAGAATTGTAGAATCACGGAATGGCCTGGGTTGAAGGGAACCTTAAAGATCATCTAGTTCCAACCCCCTGATTTTGCAGGGAATGTTCCACTAGACCTGGTTGCTCAGAGCTCCATCCAGCCTGGCCTTTGAACACTGATGGGGATGGGCACACACAACTTCTCTGGGCAGCCTCTTCCTCCCAGTGTCTCACTACCTTCATGGACTATCTTCCCGATACTCAGACTAAATCTACTCTGAGGTTGAATCCATTCTCCCTCAGCCTGTCACTACGTACTCTTTGTCCCTCTCCATTGTTCTTGTTGGCTCCATTCAGGTGCTGGAAGGCCATAATTAGGTTACACTGAAGCCTTCTCTTCTCCGGGCTTAGCAAACCAAATTCTTTCAGCTTTTTCTTGTAGGAGAGGTATTCCACTCTAATCAGCTTAGACCTTTCCATTTTAATTTCTAGAGCTTCTCTTTGAAGAAAGGTTAAAATTTTCTTTGCTTCCTATTCCTGATGCCCTTCTCTTTGCTTTGATATGTAATATTAGATGCCAGGCTAAGACTAACCCTAGCCAGGCTGTCCTCCTTGTACACAAGTTCTTTTCTGGAACAGAGGCTAAGAGCTGAGCTACAGGGCTATAATTTAGAGGTCATGAATAAAGTAGAACTAAGGTGGACTCCTTGTGAGACCAAAGTCCACGTTTCCTTTTACTGCATGTGAAAGTGATGAGGAGGTCCATGTTTGTGTGAGATTGATGGTCTGAGCAGCAGAATTCTGTTCATGGCCATGGAAGGGCCATGGGTGCCACTGAGGACTGCAGTAGTAGGCTGCCAGATGACTGTACTTTTGCAGAACCAATTCAAATCTTGCTAGAATTTCAGGAAGTTGCTTACTCCCAGCATCCAATATGTAATTCATGGAGGAATGAAGGCTGAAGTTTTGACATGACTGACAAAGATCTGTGAGCAAGCATATAAATATCAAGGTAAAGCAAAATTCCATTGACTAAATGTAGACACCTATCATCATGTGATGTGTCCTAGAGCATCCAAGACTCACATTGGGCATCTAGGTCACAGACAATGGCAAGTCAATTTGTGCTTTTCTGGAGAAGGAGCAAACTAGGTAGGATGCACAACAAAATTTAAAATTGCATTGTATGCCAGCAGCTTTTATAATGTTTTTATTTCCTTGACCTGCTTCTGGATATAATTGTGTGGATCTTACAGGGGCTTTTCCAGCTTAGTGATTTCTTCTGTGATTGTCAGTATAGTTAAAAGTGTTTTTGAAGTGCTTACTTAGGTTTATAAAAACAGATAAATCTGTTTTGTAGTTTGTCCCTTATAAATTTACACAGACTATCATAATAACTGGGGCAGCATTTCCAGGTTGAGATCATAATAGTGCTTTCAGCAGGTTTTTCAGTATTGACAAATGAGGATAGATAACGTTTTTCCAAACATTTTAAAAACATACTAGTCTGAAGATCAAGTAACTTCACTTCTGATCTCCTGTCAAGTCCTTACACATTCGAGAGTTACAGAATAATACAGTGCACTGTTTTCTTATTAGTGAAGAGAAAAGAATGTCATCATCTAGTAAGCAATTTTGATATTCCAGAGATGCTGTTATGTGCTTTAATATGGCAGCTTTAAAAGCTTCAAATGCCTCTCAAGTCATTGGAGCTAAGAAACTGGCTAGGATGTGAACTCAAGGTGTAGGATAGATACTGTGGGTGGGTTAAAGTTTAACATTCAGTTTAGGTGCCTATAGGAGGTATCTACAGGCATGCCAAGTGTCTCATGCAATAATTGATGGAGAGTTAGACAGTAGAGACAGAGGTGCCTAGAGACTGATTTTATCCAGCTGCAGTAGCTTCATGTGGCTGATCAGAGGAGTTGGTCCTCAAGCTCCGGTGGCTGCGTTAACCTAGGGGTAAATTCAGTTGTCTAAGCATAGGCAGTTAGTGCCATTTCTGATGCCAGATGATACCTGAAACTTCTGCACAGGGTTGATAGATACACCAAAGGATTGGTCTGTACCTTTCATACTTTTCTGGAGTGGCAGTTGAGGATTTGATGGAATACCTTGTGGGATCTCAGATAGCATGATTGGTTGATGAAGATAGAAGCTTATGCTCCAAATGTGTCTGCACTCAGCTAAATATTAGATTAATATGAAAATGAAATTCTTAATTTTAAAATTAAACCCACTCAGAGTTACGCAGAAGACTGACCTGAAGCCCCCTAAAAGTGGCTGGTGATCTGTTAGCTTTCATAATATCAGTCTATTTTAAATTATCCTTTTAGTGTGGAATATAGCACGCTACCAGGAATCAGATGATGACTGCCAAGAAACAGAAGTACATCAGTAGCACAGAATCTTGTGAGAGTGACACTTTCTTTTTACCAAATCCCTGTCACCTACAAATTTTGTTGAGGTGATTCTTTCCTCCTGCTGTTACACGTTGAGGGAGCTCTTTAAAAGCACTCCTTGATTTCTTCTTTCCTGGTTATTTCCCAAATTGTTTGTGTTAAGGTATTGACTAAAGAAAGTTAGGTGATTAAAGGGTTAGCTGCAAGTCACTGGACCCTTTTCCATGTTTTTGCATGAGATATATGACATTCTTACCAGATATCAATCCAAGGATATTGCTATAAAGGGGGTGATTGATTTTTTTTTCCCCTGGGGAAACGAGAGCTCCATGGTCTATTTCTGTGCTTCCTGACCTTTACAGTATCATCACTATGTATGAAGCACTGTAGATCCATCTTGCCATCTTGTTCTTCTACAGCCAAAGGAGCTTACTGCATATATTTTCCCTCTCAGTCTCTCAACATAGTTCAGTGCAATTTGCTTCTATTGAACAAAATCCTGAACTCTAACTAGTCTATTTAGTTTACCTTTTAAAATCTGGTGACAATTGTGCGTGTAAAATCAGAAGAAACTATATGGCCCTATAAGATCGGTGCTGGTGATACTTTCAAAGATCTATTCTGCAGCCTTGCCCCTGTCTGGTAAACATGTAAGATTTCTACGTATTTATTACTGCACAGAAAACTACACTGTATTGGCAAGCTAGTTGTAAAATGAAGATAAAAGATCTAGTCATGTAGCAAGTGAGCCCATTCCTGAAACTTGAAAAACACAACTAAACTAATAAACATGCTGGCAAAGATTGTAATGCCGTATTAAATAACATTAAATATTTGAAGGTCTAGTGGTAAATCTTCATCTCCTTTTCAGTCATTATTCCTTCCTTTCTTTCCCACTGTAAAGGGTTTGGTTAGAAAACAACCTGTGGTGTGTGACCCCTTGACTTTAGTTTTAAATTGTATAGAAATCTATTGAATCCTTGTTTTGGAATATATGGGAGTAATTAAGGGTTTATGTCAGAAATATCCCCTTGAAAAGACGAAACAGCACTTTGTTGCACACAATTTGCTATGAAAGCAGGGCACAGAAACTGACTGTTTAAAGCAGAAATTATTGCATTTTCTGTTTTTACATAAACACAAATATCCTAAAAATCCCCTGTAAGGAGAACTTTCCCCTACGGGATAAAATGGAATTAAAATAGTGTCAATAAATTGTGTGAGAGACTGTATCTGTGCATTGATAGTCTGTGCATGCAGGATAAGAACATTGACTGCCTGCTAATCTATTCCCAGATGGAGGTGGATGCAGACGAGAAGCGCCATCGCACACGCTCCAAAGGTGTTCGAGGTATGTCTCTTGCTTCAGTAAATCACTCAAGGCCCCTGCTCAGGGTGACCTTCATCCTCCAGAATCTCTTTGCACGATTCATTCTGACCCTTGCTTTTACACAACCTTTCTGGTAATTTTCTGTAGAAGAGGGGTACTTGTAATAGATGATAAATTTTTATATGTTTTCCATCTCTCTGCAGTTCCCGTGGAACCAGCCATACAAGAGCTGTTCAGGTTAGTGCTCTGAGTGTAAAATGTATCCCCATTAGCAATTTAGAAAATTCATGCCTTTTAATGGGTATAATGCACTTTCAAGTTCATTGGTGGTTTGCTCATGCCCTGCTGCACTGATGAAATTAATTCCCTCGAGACTTGCTAATAAAAAGCATCCCCTCTTTTTTTTCCCCTTCAGTTATTTGATTTCTCTTTCTGTCTTGGTTGCCCTCCATCTCTGTAATACCTAGTCTGCCTGCTTTTAGTATAATCTTTCTGCAGCACACCAACACCTATATAATTAATTCTCTCTTTTGCAGCTGTCCCACGCCTGGCTGTGATGGCAGTGGTCATGTTAGTGGCAAATATGCAAGACACAGAAGGTAATATCTGTAATTTTTCATAATTTAGTGAAGAGACTTGGTAAACAAGTTATCCGGCATGACCTTGATAAACCAAACAATGATAAAAATTAGCAGTTACATATTCTAGAAACCATTTAGAGTCAGGGTTATTTTTTCTTTTTGAATGTCACAAAATTTAACTCCCATTTTTGCTGAGACTGGCTCTCATTGTCAATCTTCTCTCAATTTTTGCATACAGTTCTCTTGCTTATATGTTGCAAATTAAGATTTGGCCCCACTTACCCGTTGGTGCTCATGCTCATGCTATTTAATGTGTTTCATAGCTGAATGAAAAAGAGTTTCTGAGCATTTTAAGTTCAATGATCAGGTTAGACTCAAAGCAAAGCTTAAGGCAACAATAAGACTTCAGTGTTCAAATGTTATACTGTATTATAAATACCTTTACTTCAGTTTCTAGACTATGAAATGTGGAAACATCTCCTTTAAAATTTTTTTTCCAGCTGTTTATGGTTAATAGTATACAAGGTAGCATATGTTTTGCATACTGCATGTGCTACAAATTAATTCAGACCTCAATCTTTACATTTCTGTGTCGGTGTTCAGTAGTGTTGTACATCTGTCTAAACACCATTCTTTTCCTGAATCATTTGTCCATGATTTTTTAAAATATTTTTAGAAATTAACATCTCTAGAATATATGTATTTTTCTCTCGTTGCTGTGCATTTCATTTGACATATTTTATACAGCAGCCCATTGCAGGAGATGAAATGGCTGATGTTTAGGCCATCTCTTTTCTGAATTGAGGGAAGTGTTCAAACCAGTGTTAAATTATCCTGAAACTCTAAAGAGTTTTGTTCATTCTTGATTTTTCAGCTTATAAAGCCCTTGTGGTGTTATAAGAGTAGATATTTCACACCAAATCTGATTACTACATGAAATGGGCATATGCGGTCTAGGAATTAAATTGAAATTATACATTTGGGGTTAAGGCATTTATTTGAAATACGAAAACATACTGAACAGTGCCACTTACTACACTCATGTCCCTTTTTTCTTATCAGTGAATGAGGCTTAGGGACAAGTCCAGAAAACACTTTCAGAATTAGACCAAGAGCAGTGATACTAGAATTACTTTGAATTACATTTAAACTGTATAAACTATAAAATAATTATTCACACTTATTTTCTTAATCTTCACTCATAAGAGCAGTAACATTTTTGTTGCTATTTGAAGGCTTTGGTTAGATTGGAACACTGATTTAGGAAAAGTATCCAAAAGAATTATTTTTAAATTCAGTTGTGACTTCTCATTTCAAACCATAGTTTTCTTTTGTCTGCTTTCTTTATGGAAATACAAGCCTCACAAGTAATTAAAGAATGGCACTAAATCCTTCTTTTCCCTCAGAAATCCCATACCTGTCAACAGTTAAGTGATATGATTATAATGGCCTTTCTAGTTACAAGATTATGGGTACATACATTTCTTTACACTTCATGGAATTTCTATGTAGATATCAAAAACATACAGAAAGAAACTATTTAGCTTGAGAAATTCTGACTTTTCTTCTGAATTGCTCTGGAGGTAGTGTCTGTGTTTGTATAAGATCACCCTTTTGGGTGGGGTTTGAAAAGATTACATGCAGTTTTAAGATGATAATTCCATATTTTGCTTTCTTGACATGATTCTGGTATGTCAGTACACGAACAGACTGAATCTCAGAGCTGTTAATTAAATGAAATTTTGGGCAGATGCGATAAGAATAAAAATTGGAAATACATCAAAAATTCCTTTTTTTCTACAAAAGAATTTGTTGGGCTTTTATGTTTTCTTGTCACCATGATTGCCAATCCACTAATCAAAATATATTTAACCAATATATGTCCTATTTAATGTAAAAACACAGAGTTCTTTGTTGAGGTTTACAATGTACATTTATCAAAAATTTCTGTTTTCTAGAAGTGAAGCACTATTTATTCACAACCAACACCTACTAAATTTACCTTTTTGAAAGAATTTGAAGGAATTTTGCTCTTTTTCTATTTTGCTATATGGGTGGGAAAGACCCTCAAATATTTCTTCCAAGGAAATCAGACTGTCGTAAAAATTTGATGTGTTCAGGGGATTGCATATCTCAGCTGATGCCTAACAATTCCGTTTAGACCTACAGAGCATTTTAATGAGGTTAAGACCTTTTCATTCACAGTATCAGACCAGCTCATTATTAGGAATGGAATGCATTTGCTTCCACTAGATGTAGGAAGAGCTCTCCAAAATTCTGTTTCTTCTAAAATGTCTTAAAGTCTCTGGAATTCCAGGTGTTTTTTTGGGGGGAATTTTTTGGCTTTTTTTTTTTTTGTTGTTGTTGTTGTTTTTGGTTTTTTTTTGTTTTGTTTTTTGTTTGTTTGTTTGTTTTTTGTTTGGTTTTTTTTTGTTTTTTGTTTGTTTTGGGTTTTTTTGGTGGTTTTTTTTTGGTTGTGTTTTTTTGTGGGTTTTTTTTGTTTGTTTTGGTTTTTGTTTTGGTTTTTGGGGTTTTTTTTGCGGAGGAGAGTTGTTTTGGTTTTTTTTGCTTTGTTTTGGTTTGGGTTTTTTTTGTTATTATTGTAATTGTATCTTTGTGACAGTGAAAACTCATCCTCAGGTAGTACATCAAGCCTGAACTGAAATAAACAGATTCTTTCACATTTTCAGATAGATTCAGGGGATGAAATGTTGTTCAGCTGATAAAATATTAGGTAGAATTTAAAGGAGAGTTTTACCACAGGTTTTTGCCATGGTTGTATTTTTAATTAGGAAAGAGCTTCAATGTAGGTTTACTAAGGGAACAAGCAGACTTTCTACACCAGTGATATTTTGAGGTGTATGAAAACACAGGACTAGAACTAGGAAGGGTAACAGTGGTAAGAGCTTGTTGTATCATTTCCATCTCCTTGATGTTTTTCTTTGTGTCAAATCTCAGTTGGAAGGGAAGCAAAACCTTGCAAGACTTGGTTGGTAGCTTCCTCCTGGGTCTTAAGTTCAGTGCCTGATGTTGGCTTGTTGGCTGGACATGCTAATAGACAGCTTAAATGGACAAGTTTCTCTAGAGGGCACTTTAGGCCAGAATGCTGGGATCTCTAAAATTAGTATGGTGAAAGCACCTCTGTCCAGTGGCTGCATGGAAAGGTCAGAAGAATTAACATCCCAGTTTGGGCACTGACGAGAAGTGCCCAAAGTTGGATAGTGTGCCTGCATTACTAGAGCAGACGTTATTTTTTTTTGGGTTTTAGTAATGTCTGGAAACCTGAAGCTAACATGGACCCTCTAGTGCTGTCCATGGCACACAGCATGAGCCAATGCCTCAAGGTTAGAGTTTACACAGATAGAACTCCAGTTGTTTATGTTTCAAAGCACCTGAGGCCAACTGAACTGAAAAACAAAAAGAAAACAAAGGTTGTGAAAGATCTGAATGCAAGATAGAAAAAGAAAAAAAAAAAAATCAAGAGCCACAAACCTGTTCAGATAGTGGTGGAGACAAGAGAAGAATCAAGAGAAGCATTCAAATCTTAGGAGTGAAAACCAGAGCATCTCCTGGGCCATGCCTCTGATGCAGGTTGTTTTAATCCCTTGGTAGCTGTTCAGGCCCATTGTGCATAGCAGCATAACAATGAACGCTGCTCTTATACCTTCAGTACTGTGAAATGATTTTGAACAATAAGCTTGGTCCAGATCCTTGCATACTTATAGCTGTGAATAATCCATCTGTATATATAGCAGTGACTCTAACCAGACCAGGAGGGTGTTCCCACAACTGTGTTTTCAGGATGCCTTTTGCCTTAAGCATCTGAAGAAGAGCGTAGATTCAAGTGTTCTTTCACTGCAATTAGAAGAAACTTTGCCAGTTTCATTAATCAGCTTCAGAGGCAACAGGAATCACATTCTATGCATACAAATACAAATGTAAAAGTGAGTCCAGTTCCTGGTCTGTTCTGCAGGTGCAAATTGTTACTCTGGAGTAATTGAGTGCAAACTGGCCTGTGTTATTTACTGAGGAGATGTGAATGATGGTTTCAGAAATATTGCACTTTACTTCATTGCTCTCCATTTAGCATCTTTATAAAACAATGTCATATACCAAATAGGTGCCAATGATTTGCCATATAAGCAGGTATGTAGACACATCATAAAAATCCTAACTAGATTCCATTAAAAAATACTGATTGCATACAGTGGCTTATTTAAAAGCTTCTTAACAAAATAGTTTCTTTTTTTTTTTTCTCAAGTAACAAAAGCAATTAGATTCTGTAATGGATTCATCACTTTCTAACTGCCACGTTTCTAAAATAACAATCTAACAAATACTATTCTACATATAGCATATATTCTAACATAATAGTCTAACAAATAAGAGACCTAAAAAAAAATCTTAAGGTAGTAGCATAGCACTATGTATATTCATTTAGGATTCTTTTAGAGCACACAAGAGGGTATATTTGAAAACGGATACATCCATTGTATAGAAGTTAAAGCAAACCAACTGTGGTCTGAAAAAATTTGCATAACATTTCAGTGAAGAATGTTAAGACCAAATGATAAACCCTTCATATTTAAAATGGAAATACTCACATAGCTTTTACTATATCATCAATTTCAATTTGATTGCTGAAAATAAGAATTCAGATAAAATAAAGCAACTTAAACATTTCATCTGCCATGGAATTTTTCATGCCTTTTCTTCAGGTCATATTTTATTTGTAAAAGATTTCATTAATTACTGTCACAATGTCTTGCAAAAAAAAAAAAAAAAAAAAAAAAGGCTAGTGTTTCAACCAAAGAGGAGTCATAAAATGATGTGCATATCTGTCATGTATGAATTGTCCCTAACTTTATGGAATACATTACATTTTAATTTTCTACCAAATTTTATGATACTACCCGTTCTTTATTTCTTTACTAGGCTGTCTCTGGTTTATTACATTATACGGATAGAATTATTTAGACTATCTTTTAATTTTTAGGCATGAGATTTGTCACTTCATA